AGCTGCTACATAATTTCTTCAATCGGATAACTGGTGAATGGCTTCTTAGGGACACTAGCTCTGACTATGCAAATGGCTTTTGACCAGCGTTTCAGAGACGTCGTAATCGTCTATGGTTTCTCGACGACCTCGTTGAGCTCGTACCGTGAACCATGTTTCCGTGGGAAAATCTTCTGATGTCGTCGGTGTAGAAAGCCCCTATGTAATTTTTTGATAGAATAGAATGTGCTCTTCAATATGCAATTGAGCTCATTCGGTTTGGTTTGGCAAAGTGTAATTAATTCTGTTTTGAATGTGAATGAAAGTGACTCTTTTTGCCCCCCCCCTGTATCTAATCTATAGGTTATTAGTGGTTTCTTGCTATGTGCAAGGTAGGGCACAACCAGAGTGCTTGGAATTGGATACCATGTAAAGCAAAGCCTAATCAAATGGGTCAGATATTTTAGTTCCATTCGGAATTGTATGTAGATGCGTTTTGAATGTGATTTAGCCCAGACAATTAGCCGATATATTGAGCAGCCGCCGATATACAAGTAGGTGTTTTTACCCTCCCAGATGAGTCTGTTACCGCTAACTGAGCACGTAGAGATGTACGGCTTTGGTTAGCGCGGCAGCCCAGTCTGGAATGTGATCCCCTGACCGCGCACGTGGGAAGCAGCGCTATCCACTGCCCCACATCCGCCCACGTTTCATATCTTGAGGAAGAATTGTTGACAGTTCTTGATGAATATGGCTTCTCTTGATGACCTTCTTCGAACGATCCCGACCGAAATCGACCCCTGAAAATGATATCCTTCACGATTCCCTCTGATATTTTGAAAAGCAGCTTTTGGCGATCCGATCCTCCTCTGTGGGCTGATCAGTTCTTCATTTTCATCGAACACATCAAAAAGTCCGCTGCACACAAACTGGAGGTTCGGCTGGCCATCCTTCTTCCAACATCAAGTCAGGCAGATGAGCTCTCATGAAATTCCCACAAAATTCAGTGCTGAGACCGCACATTGCTTTGCCGGTTAATCCATTCATACCGAATGGCCCATTTGATGACAAATTTCATTGGAATGACAATTTTCATCGTCTGCTTTATGTAGCATTTGGCTAAAGTTTTTACTCCCATGTCCCTAAAAATGAACAGCAGGTGCGAAGCGGCAGTCACGGACCAAGGAAGGCTTCCAACTCCCCATGGAACTTTGG